TTCATTCGGCGCACGGATCCATAGCTGCCAGCGCTGCATACTGTCGTAGGACGTTCCCGCGGTCGCGTGCGCCTTAATTGCCGCGGAATTGCGCGCAAGATCTGCGCTTATAGCGCTTGGGATCAACACCTCCTTTCGGCAACGCTTCTCTAGTATCCCGTCTCATCTGGATGTCTTAATCTCAAACAAAGTCATGATTATTGATTTTTGTCTGTGAAAAGAACGTACATAATTCAATGGCTGTGCGTGAACCTACATTTATATTAGATCTTATAGTGTAGCTCTAGAGGTTTTATTAATTATTGTCTTGACAGTATTATGCCTATGAGTAGAAGTGTCAGGAAAGATGAGATTAGGACTAAAGTTCTTTCTGTTAACTAGCTGCAGACTCTTTAGTCTCACAGCCACATCTTCAGTCTTGCAGCCTGGCCTGACTACAAAATGCATGGCGTAGGCCTACATCGCGGTTAAATTTGCTGTATACAGGTTTCTTACGAAACCTCCGAGTGTAGCTGTTGCATCATATGTTACCTGACTAATGTAATATATGCGTGTTTTTTTTTGGCAGAGCGAACAGATCACATGTCAGTCGCTCAGTCGGTGGCCATGTTGTTTGATGACCCGGTCAGTGTTGTATTAGTTATATATACGTGATAAACGTTCATAATGCAAGACTTAATTAAACAACGATTATCAACTTAAATTTGCCTAATTTGCTTCACTTATCTTGCATAGCACAAGGGTAAATTAATTATTAGTAAAGTTTAGTGGTTTGGTGCCTAATTCCTTTTTCCCGTTAACCATGACATGTATAGTAAACAGTGTTAGAGCTTTAAAATAAAAACCACTCGCCAAACTGGGCGAGTGAGTCAATAAGTTAACTCGCCCAAACGGAATCTGTACTCGCCCAAATTTTAAAACAAAAATGCTTGTCAAACAATAGTGAAAAAACACAAAATCACAATTGATTTAACTACACATGTAATTCATTGATCACTTTTCTAAAAAATTCAAGGCACATCTTCTCTGAAAGTTCTAGTTTTCATTTTAATTTAATTTACTTTTATTCTCGGGCTGCTTTGCAGTTTGCCCCATCAATGAAACGCCACGTTACGCCGATTTTATTGACTTGTTAACACCAAGGCCAACGTGACTTTTAAACAATCCTGCACTCCCTCCCCCCCTCCCCGTACATCAATCAATATGCTGCCCCAGGCACGTATACACAGCCACGCCGTGCTCGCGCTGCACGCTCTTGCGGGCTGCTTTCTTCGGCGACCTTTGATAATATAAAGTGAGGATGTCGTGGGATAGCCACCCTTCACAATCGCTACACCTGTATTTCATCAATGTTTGGAACTTTGGATATATAACGTAATTGGAACCAACATATTTGATTAAAGTTCTAGACAATTATTTTTACTCGCCAACATGGGCAGAGTCAGCTTCAGCTTTCACTCGCCCGATATTATTTTCACTCGACATTGGCGAGCGGGCGAGTGCCAAGCTCGCACGCTGGTAAATCATAGTATTTTCCGATTATATGTAGAAATTTCGTATTCAGATACTTTCTTTAGGCGGAAAAAAAATATACCTGTGTTTTCGGTTTCATGCTGAAAAAAAATAGGTAGGGTAAGTAGGTTTTAACTTTTTTTTTCCAAATCTTTTTTTGTAATCGGTGTTAGAAAGCTACAGAGACGCTATCGGGGCCATCAGCGTGCGTATGGGTTGATCAACTTACTCAATTTCTATCGGATTTTCACAGTTTAAATTTTATTTTGAAAAATATGGATAAAAAGTTGTAGGGTCGGGTGTAAAAACTAGGTAGGGTCAGGAAACCGGAAACACAGGTTTTTTTTTTTGGCCTTATGAAACACGTGTATCAGAATTCCATCATATTCAGTCATACTTTCTGTAAGCATTCCGCCAATGCGGTGTATTTCATCTGTGTGTTTGTTCACAGGCGACCAGTGATGTGAAGGTTCAATTGGAAGGGAAAATCATTCATGTTCACAAGGTCATACTGAAGAGTAGGTGTGTGTATCACGTCGAATTCCTCTCTTATTCACTTGACCCTTGATCTTCCTCGCAGTTGATTATATTAATTATTGATTATATTGATCTCATTGATTGTTTCCGGTGACCGTCACCGCAGCCCGAGTAATGGTTCGAAATTAATTAAAATCGTTTGTAATGGTTACCTGATATTTTACCTGGTTAATGTTGTAATTACGTAAAGTTGCCTTAACATCAATCTGATTAATGGTTTAATTGATCAAAATTACACTAACATCTGCCTGATTAATGGTTTAATTTATCAAAATTACACTAACGTCTGCCTGATTAATGCTATCTCGACCTCACAATGGTGGTCATATCTGCCTCATACATGAGAGTAATTATGATCCACAAGTGTGAAGCTAATACCACTTAATAATATCCTCTTTTAGATGTGAACATTTTCGATCAATGTTTCAATCTCACTGGGAGCAGGATGGAAAAGAGTGAGTACCACCTATTTCCCATCGAGCAAAAATGTGGAGCTATTATTAATAATAATGTATACTATTTGTGATAATAAGAAAGAAACATTTTTGCTTCGACTCTTGACTTGTTGCATGTATTATAGAACAAACGTTTTCTGATGTATCAACCATCTTCCACTCGATCTTCCCCTGCCTTGCCTGTTGGATATACTTTGCACCTCGTTCAATCGTCTTCATTCGTCGTAAATTGCATGCATCCACCCACAGATACACACACTGATGTTCACTCTTCCGTTTCTCCCACTAAATTGTTGATTGGTTGCCATATTTCAGCATAATTGAGATATCACAGTTCACATATCCAGTGTACAGGGCCTTCCTGCAGTTCTTGTACACAGACAGGATAGACTTGTCACTGGAGCATGCTATAGGTATTACATTTTGTGAAGTTACATATTGTTTGTACATATAGTTTTACATACCCGCACATCATTGTTACTTTTATTTATTGTCCTGGCTTGTTGACTTGCTGCAATTTTACATCTATATTGGTTCCAATCTGTGTTGGTAATTTGCGTGACTTTGTTTAGCAATAGGATATGAGAGAACAGTTTTTCGATCAAGTAGCCAAGAATTTTTATGTGAATCTAGGTAAAAACCTTCATTTTTATGCAAATGTAAAAGCATATTTTTGAGTCGGCTGAACGTCTCATTTCGATATAAATTTTAGTTTGGTTGTAATTTATTTTGGTGGTTTTGGTTATTACATTATAAATTATGTAGCTATTGCAGGTTTGGCCTGGACTTAGCTAAACATCGTACTTGGAGAGACAGTTGAAAGCTTTGTGTGAGGCGAACGCATCAAGCAAGAATCACCGGTGGCGGAATGTTGCCGGGATGATGTACGCTGCTGCCCTCCAGTATGAAGGCAAAGGTAACTAATGGCAATAGTGACTAGCTGTTTGCGTATCTGCAGGGAGAGGCACGGCGGCGCGCCCGAGGGCCGCCCTGTTCCTCAATCTTCACAGGGCAAGACAACTACCTAGATGGCTGCTAATGCGTGAAGCTAACTAACCAGCTGCTCTATGCTGTCTGGCTTAATTTAAATGCGCTGCGTTCTGTTTTTCGGGAGTTATAGGAAACCGAGGAGTTTTTGCCTGCGATTCGCAAGCTCCATCCCCATTGATTGCCGTCACACCCAATTCAGAGGGCGTTCACGCGACTTGACGAGGGCAAGACGCTAATACGCTTCATACAGTGCGTCGCCACGCAGGTAGCCTTCAAATTACTGATGCTAAGGGCAGCACCATCGCAACTGTGCTCCTGAAGTGGGTTCACTTTCCACGGGCAGTAGATTGAAGGGCAGCAGTGATCACGTGCTTATGACGTCACTGTCATGCAAAAGGCGTTTTAATCATTTTTCCTATATTATTTCATATGATTGATATTATTATACCTTATTTCCCTAACCGCTAACGCCTAACCCCTAACCCCTAATTCTAGAATAAAACAAAATTAGCTCAAAGAATAATAATTAGCCAATCAGAGCCGAGCACAACCGCAATCTACACTGCGTGCGGAAAGTTATTTCCCTGAACGTGAGCCATATATTATTTGTTTGATATGTGAATATCTGCATACACAAAATGGTACCAATATCATACAAATATCATGTAAAATGTAAATGTATCTTACAGAAGTCGTGTACGAATTGTTTAAAATATCTCACGAATGTCATGCGTTCAGTCATAACGCTTCTTGTATTGCTGACAAATAAACGCGGTGTATTATGGGATTAAAAAAAGCAAACAGAAAAAAGAATGGACGCAGGAGTTCTTTCTGGGAACAGAATCTAACTTGATATATCTGTGACTTAACACCCCTGTGCTGCATACACTGGGAGGAATAGCAAGATGCTAGCATGTAGGGAGCAGGTTATTAATTGTTGACTTTGAAGCAGTTGTTTTTGATGCGCTTTGTTTGAATGGCTATTGTAGTTAATATAAATGATGACAGGCAAATTAATCGGCAGCATAGCGTTAAAAATTATAAGTTCTGGGCATAAACATGATAACATGATTCTAAAACCTATCTCTCAGCTGGCTATGTATTATGATGTCGATCTACAGGGCCTACAACTGTGTATAGTTTGTATTTTGCTATTGTGAGGCTAGTCGATTCACTATTGTATTTTGATATAATGATGAAGCATTTGTAAACTTATATCATCTTATCACGAACGTAAGATATATAAGATAAGACGTAATAAGATGACTAATTATTAGTTTGATTGTAATTATGCTTCTCTGCTTGTCTCACTTATTATAAAAATGGCAAGCTTGTCTGTGGCTGGATGCATTTTGTTTGTCTTATTTTTAGCTCATGCTGATGTAGTCAGGTGCAGCTTGTAGAATCGCATCAAAGTTCAACAGTCGCGTAACTAGGGTATACAGGCCCGGCTGCGGTCGCGCCGTCCGTCCGACCGTGCACAGTTGGGCAGGCAAATCTTAACCGCTCGACATAACGGTCCACGATATTCGGACGTGGGGGGGTAATCCGAAAACGAGTTGGGGATGTCGAGGAGCTGGGGTCAAAGGTCAAAGGTCAAGAGGTGTAAAAAGAAGGGGGAACATTCCCTCCTTAACTTAAAAGGTATACGGGAGGAAATGGCAGAATTGGCGCACAAATCTAAACGGCTTGACCTAGGCCTATGGTGATAGTCGGTGTATAGGCATCACTGGTAGGAAAACCCATCACTGTGCCGAAATTGAGGTCAACGGTCAAATGGGGCACAGGGCAGATTTTAAACATTTTCTGAGGGCACATGGTCTAGACGGAGCGATTGCAAACTTTTTGTTTCATGCGGTGACCTAGCTTTTTATGTGCTTTTATTGAAAGGACCTATTGAAATGTACTTTCTGCTGACGTGTGAAAGAAGTAAGTGTCGAATAAGCCTTTTGACGCGCTCAGAGAGGGTTAAACATGGAGTTGTTTACTGTTAGAAAGAATTTGACTGTCGCGGTTGCTAGTAGAGATCTATACATGCGCTGAATGTATGAGGCTACAATGTCACAGTGAAATTTCAAAGCTAAATTTTTGGTTGTAAGAAGGTTTATGCTCCTTAATCGTATAATTTCTATGCATTCTGTACTGTCAGTGTGTTATCAATGTACGTATGCCACTGCCAAGTGGTACTGTGTAGTTTTTGCCATTGCGTTTAATTATTACAGGTGTGCAGCTGTCTATTTCAGCGCTGTAGGCTTGCGTAGTAAATGGATGAGTGCGGCTTACCTATTCTGGTCTGGCAAATAGTTGTTTGCTAACTACGTCCGATGGACTTCCATCTTTAAATCGAAGACACTTAAACGTACGGCGCCATCTCGTGGCACTTTCATAACGATCGCGCAAGCTAACATTCCTTTTAGAAGGTTCCTGTATACCATCCTTGTGGGCCTTGCACTGTTTCGGGGTGTATGTGAACACATTTGGACTAAGAAAAAAGAAAGAGAAAAAAGGTTTCTAGAAATCTCTACCACTCCACGCAGCAGAGTCACGCGCAGTAGAGGTTAGATGAGCGCTTCGCTCCGCGGCACTTGTTGTAGCGTAGGGCAGTTGTTGAAGATGATTGTTTGAGCGAGTTTTAGACGAATTGATTGTCATGCCGTTGTTAAAGTTTAAATACTTTTATCTAATTTATTGGTTGTGATTGTGTGGTTTGTTCAGGAGTAATANCTGTTCTGTTTTCGTGAGTTACAGGAACTCGAGGAGTTTTGCCTGCGATTTGCACTCAATCACATGACCGCCGTCACCCAATCAGAGGCGTTCGCTGAACTTGACGAGCCAACGCTAAAACGCTTCATACAGCGCGCCGGCACGCAGGGAGCCTTCAAATACTGAGCTAGGTGGCAGCATCGTCCAACTGTGCTCTGAAT